AGAGCTAGGCCATTCAGGAGTGAAATTAGGAGGTAGTTTTTCACCCAAACGGTAGTGGAAATCTGAAACTCTCTCTCTCCCAAAAGGTTGTGGATACCGGATCTATTCACATTCTTAAGACTGAAGTGGATAGATATTTGTTAGGTAAGGAGATCAAGGGACATGGGGCAAGAGCGGGTAATTGGATTCGAGGTACAGATCAGCCATGATCTTATAGAATGGTGGAATAGGCTTGAGGAGCTGAATGGCCTACTCCTGTTTCTATGTTTGTGTGATTATAAGGCAGAAGCTTGTGCATTTAAATCTCAGGATTGCATTCCTCATCTGGCCAAGTTTATCTATTCTCAACCAGTCCACTGAATGCCAAATTGAAGTCATGAATTTCAGCTCAGTGGGAGGAAGAACCAAATGTAAGAACTATGCCATCACCTGCTGGGGGAGAGAATTCATAACCCAGACCAAACTGGCCTCTGAATTATAAGGACTTTCAAGCAAATGAGGATTGTTCGCCTGTGCAGAAAGAAACAAGAAGCAGGATATAGGAGAAATAGTTTTTTTTGAATATATACTGTATATATAAGTATTTTACATGTAAGTGACATATAGGACTAGCCAAGGATTTTATTTACCAAGTGCAAATTATTCTGCAGGAATTTTTTTTTACATTGCGGAAAGCAGCATGCGAGAGAATATGACTGCAAAGGTGATTAAAGCTGCATTTGAGTGAGCACTGTTGTAAGGGCAAATAGTTACACATATCATTCAAGAAGTGCATTAGGCTGTTAGCATTCTCAGTCTGGAGGCTTGACGTTATGCTACAAGCGGTTTGGCATTCAAATTAAAAGCTGTATTTCCTTTACCCACCCCATCAGCCAAATATCTGCAAGAATACATAGCCTGTCAAAAGAATTTGTCAGCACAAGGAAACAGTTTCATCCCTTTTTTGATTTGCGCATGAGAAATAATTAGCCTGGGTGAAACAAACCTGTAAATCAGTCCAATCTTATTTAATTTCCCGAATAAATGTGACAGCTATCTCAAAAAAACAGAAAAAGAAGTAATGACGCAAGAAATCTAGAGGAATCCACAAAAGCAGAATAATCTCAGAATTATGAGTCTATTAATAGATTACTGAACTATGTAATGCCAAGATGATGCCAGAATACAAATTTAACCCCAAACATATCCAGCCAAATCCTTCCAAAATCTCAATGTCTCTAGACACTGCACAATTTAGGAATCATTTTTGAATAAATCAGGTATTTTATAGATGGGAGTACAATTTGGGAGTAACTTTATCCTTAGACTGAAGCAGCAACCACAACAACAACAACTACTTGCATTTATATAGTGTCCTTCATGCATGACAGTGTCTCAGAGCGCTGCACATGGCGGAGTTGGTTGCCGAGCAAGGGAAAACGGAGACGGGGAAATAACCTTGGGAGAGGTGAGGACACGGCCACTGACGGTGGTATTGAAGGGTCAGGGGATGCGCAGCAGGCTGAGCAAAGAGGAGTGTGGTGCGAGCAGGTAGGGAGGTGCTAAAGTATGAAGGGATATATATGCAAGGGTGAGGATCTTGAAGTTGAACCATAGAGGAGAGTGCTTTCGTATTAGTTTTCATCAAACTCATTGGAGAAAGATGAATTTTCTGCCTTTACATTGTTTTGCCAACACATTAGTTGCATATGCATGAATGTGCTACAAATTCAATTATTAAACCCGCCGTATTTCAAATGCTTAGTAAATGTTCACTTAGAGGCAATACTATTAAGACTGGTTGACAATATCAATTCCAAGATAAATACTATGACCTTTCTTCAGGATGCCTGCGGAAAGAGATGAGAGTTCCAAACTGCTGTGTCCATTTAAAAGTTGCCTAGACGCATTTTAATATGTAAAATCCAACACTTCTGTATTTGTAGAATCTGATAAAGAAATGCACCGCAGGCCTTTAAAATGTAAGCCATTCAGCTATAGCAGTTGTTTCTAACAGTATTCAGAAAATCATTGGCTCACATTACTCAGTTTATATTTTTTCTGAGGAATTCTGAGGAATAAAACACAACAACTGGTGTTCAATTGTGGCATGTAATTTTGTTAGGCAGCCAGTTGTCTGCCATACACAGAAACTTATAACTAGGCTTAAGAGTACTGACATTACTGAGAGTCTAATAAATGTATGGAAATTTTGATTTGCCTGGAATGAGTGTGCACTTGCTCCCCAGTGACATGGTCCCTACTTATCTAATCCTGGGGAAACGTATGATACCAGTTAGCAGAAGTCAAGGTTTGGGAACTCCAATCAGCCTTAATTTGGAAGCTGGTTTCTTGCAGAAAATCAATTTCTACATATTCCACAATTCTGCAAAATCATAAATGTTAGTACAAAATGTATAGTGAACCATGAAGTACAATGTATTCCTCTATCACCTTCAAAGGAGTTCCTCCTGAAGTGTTTTGGTCCCAACCACAAGCATCAGTGTGTGTTCAATCTATTAGATCTATTGAGTCTCGGTTACGTTTTTGTCTCACCAAACAGATAAAGATGATGAATCTACACTGGCTTCCTTCAAGCGCAAGTTTTACACTGGATCTCATGATAATAATAATTATTCATAATAATCCTTTGAATTGGTATAGCGCCTTTCATGTATGGAGAACATCCCAAAGCAATTCATAGGATTTTACTATGAAATAGAGTAACTGGGTTTATGTGGGTAAATGCTGCAGCCATTTTGCACACAGCAATGTCCCACAAACAGCCATGAAGTGAATGGCCAATTTTATTTGGAGGATTGTTGGCCTGAACACCGGGAGAAACTCCCTTCTCTTTTTAAATAGTGCCATGGAATCTTTGACATCCACCTGAATAGGCAGATGGAACCTCAGTTTAATGTCTCATTGAAGGATGTCATCTCAAACAATGCAACACAGCCCCAGCATTGCACTGGAGTGTTAGTTTAGAAATGTAATTTCAAGTCCCGATGTGGAGATTGAACCCACAACCTACTGACTTAGAGCCAAGAGTGCTACCACTGAGCCAGGCTGATACCTAAATAATATATTTCACCCATTTGCCTTAAAAGGTTAAGTAATGTGGGATGGATAATAGCGATTACCAAAAAAACTGTAGGATATTATAGTTTAGAATATTTACAAATAATTTTCAAGACAATAATAAAGAATGACTGGTGTATTTAGAAAGTACTGTAGTGCATTCTGAATTAATGAACTGGAAAAATAAGCCTTTGTTTCAAAAACAAAGCCAAATGGTTTATCATTAAATAGAATGACTCAAAATAATTTGGAATCTAGTAAAACTACATAACAAGCTATTAGCGCCAATTGTACATCAAACCTCAATAGCAGTTCGAACTAAGATACATTCAATGAACACTTAATTTTGTTACAAAAAGTATCCTGCATTAAACCACACTAGCATTGATTCCAGTGCTTTTCCCCGGTGCATAATTGGATTAGCGCCACAATTTATAAGCAATTTGTTTTTGTCTGATTCCCCCATTTCCAGCATTGAAGGCAATGGGCCAATTTTATACATTAGTTATACTGCTTACTTGGCATCAAATTGCTCGTCGGCCACTACCAAAGGTATGATATAAACAGGGTTCAAGCAGTACAAAATTGTGCTTGTGTTATGCTGCTGGAGCCACAGGAGGTCCAGGAACTTTGAACGTACATAGTATTGGTTAAAATTCAAATGACTGATTCTTTAATAACATTTTGATCCTTGGTTGCATAATTGCTTATTCAAGCTTCTGCCTGTAACCAACACTCTGACCCTGGGGGAGTCCACTCCGATGTACTTCTGAGTGCATTTGAATCGAGTTTCTGTGAGTCAGTGTAACTGGTTAGCTCCGTCACGTCACAACTTTGTTTGAATCCCACTGCAAAAGTCACATTTTCAACCCCATTGTTTTATGCACTTGCAGGAACACGAAAAAAAAATGGAATGCTTCCAATTAGTGAGAGATTATTATTAAAACATATCCCGTGAACATCCAAGCCCACAGTCTGTTAGTATCAAACAAACAGAAGAGTATTAGAGGAAAATGAAGCTTAAGGATGTAAAATACACCTTCATCAAACCTTACAGCAAGCTCCCTGGCACTATAAATTGTAATAATAACCCTGAATAGCCTGCAGTGCTCCAAGGTACTCATGAATGAGGGCCATCTGCACAGTGACATGGTAATCATTTCCAGATTATATTACACTCTGTAACGCCTGATTGGCTGGAAGCATATCCCTGGATATGTTCATAATAGCAATTCATTGGTGAAACTGGAAACCAGCTCTTCATTATAAAACTAAGTCCAAGCTCATTTTGAGTAATTGAGGGCTTCGTCACAAAGGAGCTCTTCAATAAAGAGAGCGCTAGGATTGTCTCACTGCCAGGCTCTTTAATTGCTATGAATGATCACGTTGAAGATTTTAGATTCTGTCCAGCCTAGCAGTATAAATTTCTAATCCACTTCAATAGCTATTCCAACATCTTAAGGCCAACCCATGTATATCTTCGCTCTCGCTATTCAACAACTTTCCATTTCATAAGATCTGGCCTTTCACTACCTGACAAGTGCTAAACATGATAACATGTTCCGAGAAGACTGCTCAGATTTCTATTTCTATTATCTTAGACCTCAATTAATCTTTTTGAAGTTAAGCTTTGAAACAACATGACCTAATTTATCCTTTTTGAGCCCTCGATTGTTCCTTCAACAAGACGGACGTTTTCTTTCATGTAATCTTCAAACATTTTTTCATCTATTTAAAAAAATGCTGAGAAATAGATTTTCATTGTGTTGGCATGCACAGTTAAAACTACTGCTCAAAGTATTTTCAGAAATAGACCAAAAACTATAATTGCAAGCATTATCTTTTAACGTATTAGCAGTCGTTAGCCTTTGTGCAAAGGGACAATGGACTGCCCTTGGTATAAAACGTACTGTAGTCCAATTCAACAAGCGAGACTTTACCTCTCTGACAGCAGTACAAAACTCGCTCTGCAATACTCTCTGCAAGGACTGCAGTTTATGGATAGGAACGGCTCCACTCTCCTGCAGCTTCTCTAGCAGTTCAATAGCTCGAGCCACATCTGGATCAAAGAGAAACAAGTAAAGAATGTTAAAAAGCAAGATGCTCTTCGCTTGGTTCTCATTGGACCATCTATATTTAAAAACTGCCCGTGCTCTACTTTTGTGCATAAATAAAACAGCAGTGAGTGGAGAGATTGTTTAGTTAGCAATAGGAGGATAGATCACAGCCATAAATAGGATTTTAGCTTTCATAAGCGAGACTGACTGGATAACCAGCTTTGCTCAATATATTATATCTGATATATTCCACAGTAATACATTCAAAACATGGAAATAGCTAATTATTGTACTTTTCCCTCAATTTTCTCCCTTCTTTTCCTGAGGGCAGTGACTTATAGTTTATATATAATTTATAAACAGGATTTGAAACATCCCACTTGATTGTTGAATTCCAATTTCTACAGCAGTAATGCCTGCAAATGTGCCTCCATATTGAGTTCAAAATTTGCGTCCTCACCTTCAAGGCCCTCCATGGCCTTGCCTCCTCTTACCTCTCCGATCTGCTAACCTCTTATCAACCTCTCCACTCCCTCCCTGCTCCATGTCCGCAGCCCAGCTCACCTGACCATCAACGGACGGGCCTTCAGCCTCTCTGTCCCCACCCTCCCCATCCCACCTTCCCTTCGCCTTGCTTCCCTCCCTTGCCTCCTTCAAGGCACACCTCAAGGTCCTCCTCTTCGACAGTGCCATCAGCCACCCTCCGACCTTCTCTGCCCTCCACCTTCAACCAACCCCCACCCCCACTCAGGTCCTAATCCGTGACTGTTCAGTGCTTTGGGACATGAAAGCGCTTTACAAATTCAATTTTGTATTGTATTGTCTCTAAATCCAAGTACATTTTAAACTGAAATTAATAGTATTTGTCCATAATGTTTCATTCTCCTCTCGGCTTGGCTCAGATTGTAGCACTCAGGATTTGAGCTCCTAGTCTGTAGTAACACTATGTTGCAGTAATAATTATAAAATAATAAAAATGCTTGGATTTGACATAGCACTTTTCAAGTAGGGAGTATCTCTCTATGTGCCTCCCAGAAGTTTTACTGTAAAGTGTAGTGACTGTGTGAACAGTAGGTGAATGCAACAACCAATTTGTGAGAGGCAATGTCCCACAGACAGCTATGAAGTAAACGTTCAATTTTATTGAGGGAGTTGATGGTCAGAGGAACTCCCTCTTCTTTTCAAATTGTGCCTTGGGATTTTTAACGTCCAACTGAACAGGTAGACAGGACTTTGGTTTAGTGTATGACAGTGTTTTCAGTAGTTCCAACATGACAAAGAGCTATAAAACCTATATAAAAGCTATAAAATGTTGTTCTTCCCTTAAAAAGATAAAAAGTTTTTGAGCAAATTGTAGACAATATCCATGAATTAAATGATCAACTTTATAATTCCAGCACATAGCTGCCGCGTTTCGCCCACAAATATACAGTCAATTCTCTTTACAGTATATTCTGTGAAGCGCTTTGAGACGTCTAGAATACGTGAAAAGCACTATATCAAATGCAAAGATTGTTATTATTATTATATTATTATAAGTGGTACATTTGTGAAAAGAACCTGGATTGTAAGTTTAATGAACACAGGAACAGCCATGATTTAAAAACTCTTCACGTTTGCCAGAACTGCAAAGATCTAAGCAGTCTCATAGACCACTGACATGTTAAAACCCAGAAGCTATTTTGCTTGTGTTTGTTGGGCTGTTAAGTCTCGAGAAGATGTCTCAAAGGGGACCTTATAGAAGTGTATAACATTTTAAATGGGATTGAAAAAGTAAACTCAAAACAATACTTTATTTTCATCAAGACCGTAGAACAAGATGGCAATAGATTTAGAGTTGCAAAGGCAATTTCTGGACAGATACTGGGAAGCTTTCTTTACCCAGAGACTAATTAACGACTGGAACCGGTTTCCAGTAAAGGTGATTAAGGCCAGGAGAGTGGACTCATTAAAGAAACACTTTTTGATGTTGTGATGGGAGGACGAAAGCCTGAGTATTACGGAAGGATGAGATCAAATGGGCAGAAGGGTCTTCTTCATCTGAACAAATCTTGTGATGTGTTGTCAGGATTTCCTATCTTCTGTAACCCGAATCTTGGCAACATGTTATCCTGGGTTTAGTTGACCCTTTGTAATCATCAAACATTTTCAATCAGTAGAGTGTAGTCTGGAGTTGAAGAAATATGCCATTACATTATTTTGTTTGTAACAAATCACTCTACAAGCACATACAGACATGTACTGAACTTTACAAAGCTAATGGATGAATAAATAAGATTTTTAGTGCTCCAGTTTATAATAATTGTATTATGTTTCTTTATCACTTTGTGAATGAGGCCATCACAACACTCAAACAATCAAGTTAACATACCGGATCATTTGCAATCTGTTTACTTAGTCACTAATTAACTCTTATCATTTTACAGTGTATGGAAAACCTGTTCACTCATTACTTTGGTCATATGAACCACACAGTTTAATAGTCTAAGTCCAAGTGATGTTGATAAACTGAGTCAGTGCTTCGATTATACACATCATTTATCCCAGCAATTGTATGTTTACTTTCTTCCGTCTGTCTGATTCAATACTTATCCAACAATTCTGAACTGATTTTCAATAACTAACAAGGAAGAAACGGATGAGTCCAGGTTTCAGAGGACAAAATCATTGCCTTGGGCTATTTTTTTCAGAAGCTTGTGTCATGTTGAATTGTTAAGTGTCTTAATTGACTTATCCAAAACTAAAGCTCCTGTCAGCAGCTACTGTGCTTGTGTCAAGAGAGTGTACCACTGGCAATACTGTCTAATTTCTTCAACAGTAATGCAAGATTGGTCTGTGGGTACAAATACAAATTTGAGTTTTTTTTTGTCTGGGGAAAGAGGGTGTTTGTTTCAAGTTTGAAAATGCAGATGTTTAAAAAGCCCAAGACCAAATTGAACTGCCCATAATCAGCAGAAATATCGGGCACTCCCCTGCTCCATATAGCTTAGGCAAGCAGTCACATAACTGAACCTAGAAGACTGACACGGGTGGATAATTTTAAGGGATAATGGAATTACACAATGGAGGTAAAACAAAACGCATTATAGGTTGTGATTAAGGTTGCCAACCCTCCTGGATTGTCTTTCAGGCTCCAGAAATTAAGCATTAATCTCCCGAACACTGCTGCACACAACCCGGAAGGAAAATCATAGAGAATTCTCGAGACTTAGCGACATCATTATGGAGTCCTGTAGTTCAGTGGTTGGAGCACTCGCCTTGCAAGCGAGAGACCTGGGTTTGATTCCTGGCAGAGCAAAATGTTGGGCTAGTTTCCTGACTCCACACGCCTCTGTTAACCTAGCAGTAAGTAGAAACCCAGCTGTTAGTCGATTGGGGGATCACTTTTCCGAGGATAATAATTCAAAAAAAATTGGTCTCTTCAATCCATGAGTAGTTGTGGGACACTGCTGTGTGCAATTGGCTGTCTCATTTCGTCTACAAAGTATACAGTCAATTCACTTTACAGTATATTCTGTGAAGCACGTTGAGACGTCTCAAAGACGTGATCAGGCGCTATATCAAATGCAAGGATTATTATTATTATTATTATTATTATCATAGGTCATTTACAACACCACCGTAATGTCAGTGCTGCCTCAGTTTACAATAGTAACCATTCTTCCTGGAATGCATCCAACTAGAGTTGGCAACACAAGTTGTGATAATTATCACTGCTGCATTTTCACCCCTCTTTGTGCAACTTTAGGCTGTACCAATTTTAAAAAGACCAAATAGAAATAGTCAGAGAAGACATAAGAATCTAGGGCTTAGGGCTCTAAGCTATAAAGAAATAATAGTTTATCTTCTTTTCGTTGAAGTACACGATGGCCTGAAGATCATGATTCTCCAGGATTTGGAAGGAATGGATAACAGATGGAAGCAAGCTGTGAGCACAGAATTAAAGGACCTGTATCAAAGATTCACAAGCCTCAAGTGCGTGTGGAACTTGGAGGAAATGTTTCCTCTCTGGTAAATAATACATGTATAGAATAGATGCCAAGGAAGAAGTCTTAACTTTTAACAAGAACTGGATAAATATCTGGCTGGGAAAGGAACAGAAGGTTATATATGAAAGATGATCAATCCAGCGATCCCAGCAAAGTAATCTGACAAAAGCAATAATAATAATGATAATAATCCTTGCATTTAATATAGCGTTTTTCACGTCTTTTCGACGTCTTAAGCGCTTCACAGAATAGACTGTAAAATGAATTGACAGTATATTTGTGGGCGAAACGCGACAGCCAATTGCGCACCAGTGTCCCACAAACAGTCGTGGATTGAAAATGGCCAATTTATTATTGTTTTGTTTTTGGAGGGATTATTATTAGGCATGTGGAGTAAGGAAACTTGCCCAAGGTTTCGCCCTGCCTGGAATTGAACCCAGGTGTCTCGCTTGCAAGGCGAGTGCTCTAACCACTGAGCTTCAGGATAACAACAGGGCTAAATCAAAATAAATTGCATTCCTGTCTGTCCAGGTGGACGTCGCAGAGCTCACGACAATATTGGAAAAGGGAAGAGAGTTTCTCCTGATGTCCTCGCCATATTTTCAGGATTCATTGGTGATTCACCTCATGGTTGATTGTGGAACCTTGCTGATGCAAAAGGCTGTCATGTTTGCTTGATAAAAAACAGTTACTGCACTTGACAGTGATTAGCTGTGAAGTATTCTGAGATGTTTCAATACAAGGCACTGTAAAAATTCAAGTCCTTTTTTTTCTTTCTTAAATTATCCAGTTAAAAGGCCAAACAGCAACATCCCAGAATTTTGCTTGGTTGTCTTCAGGCAATTATTTTGTTGACATTTCCCTTAGGGCGTTATATGCAGAATTCCTGTTAAGGTTAGTTGTATGCAGTCTGTCGAGGGAACAGTCTTGATGGGCCAGAATGGCTTTTCTTATTCAAATGATTCTATGATGACTGTAGGTTCTGAATTTAGCTCAGTTTTCAGATCATGGAG